CTTGCGCATCTCGCCACGAGTGCGATATGCTGCGAGGGATCTGGCCGGGCGAGCTCAGTTCAAGCCTGTGGAAAAGGGGTTTTGGGGTTTGGGCACATGGTGCGAAATTCTTGGCCTTGCTGCCGGTTTGGCTTTGGGTCAGATTGTACTGGCACCATGCAATTGCATTCGGGGCCAAGCTTTTCCGAATCCGGGGCCGTCGGTGTTGCATGGCGCATCCTAGGACCCTGGAACAGCATTGTCAATAGTATACTTTGTTAATATGTTATTACTACTATATTATCATTATTATTACTACTAATATTAATATACTCATAATTATAAGTATAATTATCTTTATATTAAGAATTATTATTGTTGCGATTATTATTCTGATGTGCCCATAGGCCTCATGAACCGGCCAGGCCGCAGCGAGGCGAAGCAAATCCGGGCACGAGGCGCGCGCGTTGGGGCTTGCCCAGGAGCGACTGGTTTTTCAAGCTCCCTTCTCGGGTTTAGGGTTTAGGGTCCCTTGTCTTCTTGTCGAGGTGGAAGCCCGCATCCCGTGTAAAGTTGCTTCAGAAGCCAGGTGATAGGTCCCTTCGGCCTGTGAGGTGGGACTCGCTGCAGCTGCAGCCACTCAGGCGTGTGGGGACGGCATCTCAGACTGTCTACTTGTGCGGGTGCGATCAAAACGCATTTCCGGCTCCCTCCCTGGAGGGTTTGCTTTGGGGTGTGACATGGACATGGAGGGCAAGAGCAGGAAACAGGGGGAAGGAGGGGCCATTTCCAAAACGCATGATTCCACCAAAGGAGTGTCAGCCACTGCGGCGATGGCCGAGGTTCCGACAACCTTGGCGGGCGTGCCCTTCTCAGAACCGCCTTGAGCCAGTGGAGCCAGTGACTATGGTGTCTCGTTTAGAGGACGTGGCTGGCAGAGCCATCGCTTCGGCGCTCCTGCCTGCTCCCGGGTCCGAGCATGCGTGTTTGGCTGGTTGGATTCCGACAATCATGACATGTGTGTATATATATATACATACACACATCAATAAATATACAAATATATATATATACATATATATATATACACATATACATGCATGCATGCATACATACATGTATATATGAGTTACATATATATATATATATAATACAGAGAGAGAGAGAGAGAGAGAGAGAGAGAGATAGGTACACACATCTACATACTTATCGATCTATCTATCTATTTTTCTGTATAGACAGATAGGTGTAAAGATGTATAGACAGCAGATATATCTGAGGCAGAGCGGCTCTGGACTGGCCACCATGGAGGATGCAGGGACCCTCGAAGGTTCAGGGTTGGCCCGGCGGGCCCCAAACAAGCCTTTGGGGATCTTTAGGGTTTAGGGTTCAGGGATCTTCAGGGTTTGGGGCTTAGGGATCTTTAGGGTTAAGGGTTTAGGGGTCTTTAGGGTTTAGGGATCTTTAGGGTTTAGGGATCTGGGATCTTTAGGGTTTAGGGTTTAGGGATCTTTAGGGTTTAGGGTTTAGGGATCTTTAGGGTTTAGGGTTTCAGGATCTTTGGGGTTCAGGGTTTCAGGATCTTTGGGGTTTAGGGTTTAGGGATCTTTCGGGTTTAAGGTTTGCGGATCTTCAGGGTTTAGGGTTCAGGGTTCCGACTTGACATGGCCAGTGCCGCCGCCTGCGACTCAAGACAAACCAGCCACGGTCACGGCCCGTTCTCATCTTTAAAGAGCCAGAAGCAGGGTCATGAAGGGTCCCTTTTAAGGGTATCCGTAATACTAGCTGGGACCCTAAATCCGAAACCCTAACCCCTAGTAACATGAAGAGCAAGAGCATGTTAAAATAGATGAAACTAGCAATCACCTTGATCATCCTCGTCAGAGTATGATAGCAACAGCTGTACCAAGAACAACGATTTTGCATGATAGTAGTAGTCATACAAATAGGAATGACAACAGTAGTGCCAATAGGAGTAGTGGCAACTAAGCCTATTAGCAACGATCATCCTTAGTAGTAGTATGCGTATTGTTAGATGGACAAGTACATTTACATTAGTGCTACGAGTTCGAATATTAACAGTGAATATAACATGAACCAATACATCACAAAATGTGAGTTATCATAACAGCACCAACAAAAATAACAGTATTGATAATCATAACAAGTCGCTCTGTTTTTTGGCCAGACACGCAGTCGCCACACTATGCCTCTATATCAAACGACCGAACTCAGAAAAGCTGGAAGTCCGGACTGACCATTTGGAACGAGACAACAGAACAACGGCTTGTCGCCATGTGAACCGCGCCGTTGCCGCACGAGATGAATGCGCAGCAAGACGGAGCGGTGGACCTGAACCTGACGTGGGGATTCTTTTGGGGCTCGGCGATTGCGAAGACAGTACAATCTCCCATTACCCCGCCTCATGCATTCATCAATGGTATACGTATTCCAGAAGCCTAATCAATCAAGGGGTTGTTCGGCTCGGGTACACGATCTCAGAAGATGCTAAGCATGACATGCTCGAGAATTGACGCAACAGGAGAGGCGACTCCGCAAGAACATCCTTTTGTTTGGAGAGGCGAATTCGCTTCTTTTTCTCATTATTTCCGTGTGCCTTTCCTTTGTGCTCAGATGTGGAGCGGCCGATGCCAAGACGAGTCCTGGACCGACTGCTGAGGACATGGGGACAAAAGCCAGCATGATTCATGAGAGTCATAGCAACGGTAGGGCTAGATTACGGTTTAGGGTCTAGGTTTCTTGCTTTCCCTATCTGGTTTGGGAAAGGAACGAAGCTGGCGCAGGCCGCCTGCAGCGTCACGAGTCATGCTGGAAATGCTTCATGACACTTGCTTGCATGTCTACGAGGCAATCCGATGCCTTTTGCAAGCTCTCAAACCCCCCTCTGTTGCCGGATCTCTGACCGAGGCGATGCTTTTGCCTGACTCCGAGCCGGGAAGTCCACTTCGAAGCAGCGCAGGCGAGACCTGCAAACAGCTTCCCGCCACAGCATCCACTGTGCAAAGGCTCAGCACGCAGCGGTCGTGCAGTCCCTCGCGCTAATAACAGCTGAGCAGCCTGGAAAAATTGGTCTTTGTTCGCGAAAGGGGCTACTGCGTAATTGCTGTAATTGCCCCAAGTTAGCAGAACTATAGCCAACCGAGATTGGGAGAACAGTTTCAGTCATCATCGGAAAGAGCGGCTACAAGCTCGGCCTCTCAGAACCTCTGACCTCTGGCTCCAGCGCACAGACAGGGAGAGACAGCGAAAACTATAGATCCGGAGCCACAGCGCTCCGTATTCGGGTTCCCTAGGCGACTTGCTCGGGATGCTTGGCACCAGCAATAGCGGAAGCACTCTAGTGAAAATATCTAACAGTCATTCTCCAGTTCTACCAGGCATCATCCCTTACCATCTTCTAGACCTGCTCGAAAAAACGTGAGGTACTCACATGGCTCACCCAGCTTCGCCACCTGGACTGCCGGCTTAAAAGCCTTGCTGACAAAAGCGCAGGAGGAGGAGTGCCCCTCCCACAGCCTTCGAGAAAGTCCGAAAGAACGGTGGGATACAGGGTTTCGGGTTTAGGGTTTTGCTCCTTGAAAGCAATTCTAGATGGCTACTTTAGGGAAAGCGGTGGCAGGAAGATGCTGAGTTCGACCGCCTCGCCCCGTCTGCATGCGAATGGCTGGCACCCAAGAGGAGTGGACAGTACAAAAGCGCTGCAGAAGCGAAGTCCGTGTCTGTGACATGAGGCCAGCCTTGAACAATGTTGTGAAGCTGGCAGTCGCGCCGCCCGAGCCTTTATCTCGAGAACTGGGCCGTACACAATCGTGCACACAAACGTAGGGAAAGCCCAGCACAAGAAATGCGGACCCTTTGTTTCGATCCAGGCCTGAAGGGAAGAGCGAGGTGAGTGATGGTCTCCTCTTGGACGTGGCACGTTTATCTGCTCATGCGGCAGCTGATCTCAACAGTATCTACAGCCTCGTCGTCCCGGCTTCTCGTTGCACTCTTAGTCTATGCAAGGCTCGCTTTGCATTGGCCGCCTACTCGAACAGGCTCGGCCCAGTAAAACATCACTTGTACGCCGGTTCAAGCGCCTGCCAGGCTCTACAGACTAGTTGCGCCTGGGGCAGCTTGTTTGACACTGGCCTGCTGTATGTCTGAACGTCGAGCTTTTGTACGCATGAGCGGGATCAGTGACGACGACGTGCTGCTTGCCGAAACGGTGGCTCGTCCATTTAAACCTGTTTGGTGGATCTGTCGTGACCGTGCAACCTCCACAATCATGGTCGCCATTCGCGGCACTTTCAGCATGTCAGATGTGCTTTCTGACGTGCTGGCCACACAAACACTGTACAAGGAGCATGTGATACACGAGGGCGTGCTAGCAAGTGCACGCTGGGTATACAGCAAAGTGGCGCCAGTTCTGCGCAGAGAGTCGGAAGGAGGGAAGATTGTCATCACAGGGCACAGCTTGGGCGGAGCGGTTGCGGCATTGCTGGCGTGGTTACTTCGTGAGGATGCTGGCCTGCCGGCGCGAGCCTTTGTCTTCGGCGTGCCACAGGTCACTGACGAAGCGCTTGCCCGGAAGATGGCAAGGTTCGTTACCGGCATCATCCATGCGAGGGACATTATCCCAATGCTGTCGCAAAAGTCTGTGGAAGATCTACGCCACCAGGTGGCAGAGGCCGCGCAGACGCCTGAAGAAAAATTGCTGGAGCTGCAAGCGGTGCTCGCAAATTTCCATCTCCCGACCGAGCCAGCGTTATTGCAAGATGCTCTCTCGCAGCGGCACTTTCAGGCATCTTGGTCGGCACAGGCGGCATGGGATCTAGCTGGGTGTTGTCAATGGTGCAAGCGCCAACATGTCCAAGCTGAAGCTGAGGCAAAACTCCCCTTGACCCGACGGACCCAAATTCCTGCCGCTAAGGCTCCAAGCCCTCGGCGTCATACCAGCACTTCCACTTCTACGACGGTGTATGAAGATGCTCCAAGTGACGTTGCGGAGCTGCCTGCGATTCCGATGCACAATCCAGGAGATGTCAACAGCACCAATGTTCAGCGTTTGCTTCTGTTTGCTTCACAGTTCTTTGCTGACGATGTCGCCGTTGCAGGATGGCAGCTGCACTTAAGAAGACGTGCGCTTGGGGCACGAAGCCGCGAGTTCAAGCCCATCCTGTGGAGAAGTTCGACGCTGGGAAGTTGAAGTAGATACTATAGTCTCACTGCAGTCGCAGTGCGCGTAAGGGGCGCCGCACGCTGTGCTGAATCACGACTGAACATGCGGAATCGCGAAGGATGGAGGACTTCCTGATCACCGTCTCTACGCCCACAACAGCTTCTATGCAACGAGTTCGCCCGGTCCCCAGTAAGATTCCTGCAAGCTGCAACTGCGCGAGTCGGAACTGTCAGGTCCGGCTTGGACTATGTGGCAGGATCATTGGCCGCAGGCTTTTTGGATCTTGCGACTGCAGTGGGTTTTTTTAACTGCCCTGGAAGTCGAGAACCCCGGGAAGCCCACAGTGTCCCTAAACCTTCGCCCTCGGAAAACCTCCCAAGCAATAGGAAGAGGAGGGGGTTTCGGTCAGCCGGATCGTGAAGATGGGATGGAGCGCGGCTTCTGAATGAGTGGAGCTGCACCCTGTAAGCCATGGTGTAGCCATTTTGAGGGAGACCCGAAGATTCGTAAGTGACAGGGCAAAGGCTCGAGACTTTGGTAGCCTTCCTCAATGCAGGGTCCGTACCACCTGAAGCTGAGCAGCTACACCACAACTCATCTCTGAGAGTTGCATGTTGTGCTGAACATACAACACTTTTAGCCACAAAATCTTGAGGCAAAGTTGAGAAAGAGTGCTTTTGCGTATCCGCCCGTCATGGAGCTTCGTCTTTTCTTTCTGTTGGCTGGCTTTTGGAGGGCTTCCGCTTGGTGCCGGCCAAGGGCAGGCAGCTGCGAGGGCAACCTGCAGGAGCGGAAGCGCACCGAGCTCCTCCATCTAGGCCATGGCGCTATGAATCAGAATGAGCTGTGGGCATTCCCACAGGCAGTGGATTGGGATGACGATGGCCACAGCGAGCTCATCGTTCTCCAGTGGGATGACCTGGCTGAAAGCGGCGACTTGACTGCCACGACAAAGTGGCGGTGGGATGACCCGCCGGGAGAGCGGAGACACTGCTTTGTCAGGTACTTTAGGCAGGATGAATGGCAGCTAAGCGAGCAACTCGGGGAAGAGAATCCTTTCAGAGATCTTCGGTTTCAGATGAATTCCACGAATGTAGAGCCTGCCTTCACAGTTGTTGACTGGGATGGAGATGGCGACCTCGACTGGATACTACGGGACGACGAGGGTTTGTGGTTTTTGGAGTTCTCTGCTGGCACCCTTCGCAGCAAGTCTCCAATCCGGCTCTTTGACAATCTCGGCCAGGCAATACCCGGTGTCTTGGCAGCATCAGACTGGGCCATGCAGCCTTTCGCTGCTGTGGATTGGGATGAAGATGGCGACATGGATCTGTTCATCAGCGATCCGCAACAATCCTGGCCACTTGAGATCCTTTACTTTGAAAGGGCCAATGAATCTGCCTTGGTGCAAGCCCGAAGTCCTCTGGCTGGTTTCGAGGCTGATTCCGTGAAGAGCATGGTTGTTGCAGATTTTGACGGTGATGGAGCAAAGGATGTTCTGTTCAGCCGCTCCGACTTTTATTTATGCGAGGGTGCTATGCTCGGCTTCCTGCATGGTACCGAGGATGGGAACTTCGAGGACTGGAGTCAGAATGCTCGTGCGAACCCCTTTTCAGGGGTCGAAGGTGCCGGATCTCAAGACTGCACCGACTTCAGCGGCGCTGCCTTGGCATTGGTGGACGGGAACCAGAACGAGTTGTTGGAGCTGCTGGTTGCCACCAGTTCACGCCTCTTCCTGTTCTCGTGGCACTTTACCAAGCAGCTGGTGGAAAGAACAAACGGGTACACTCTATTCCACATCAACAGAAGGATGGCGCATCCTGCCGTTGCAGATTGGGATGGGGATGGGATCATGGACTTGATCCTCGGGTCGAAGTATGGACGTGTCGAGGTTTTTCCACGCCAAGAGGACGGCAGGTTAGGTGACGGGGAAGCCGTTCTTGAGCTGAAGGATGCCTCGACTGCCCGGCCCGTCGTCCTTGATTTCAACAACGACGGCCTCAATGATCTCATGGTTCCCCATGCTACATGGGACGGAAGCGAGCTCATCTATTTCGAACGCCAGCCGAACGGAAGCTTGGAAGAGAAGTTCCGGCTCAAACCGAATTGGGCAGTTTGCTTTGCAGCAGCTGTTGCAGACTGGAGCGGGGATGGACATTTGGATCTTCTGCTGCCCTGTAGCAACGAAACTTTTTCAGCACACTTGGTCTGGCAGTTCTTTCAGCAGCTTCCTAACGGCTCCTTCCAGCATCGCCCAGCGCCTGTAGCTGACTTGGATGATGTCTCTGCTGGCTTGTCTTACGTGTATGTGCAGGCTATCGACGTGAATTCGGATGGGACAGCAGACCTGCTGATGAGGGACGGCCCGGCATGGCGTCTGTTTCTATCACAGCCAGATGGACAGTTGATAGAAGTGAATGCGAGTGAATCCTTGCATCTTGTCAGAGAGTTGCCAGAGCTGGGTGTTGGAGAGACCTTCGTCCTAGCAGATTGGGACTCGGATGGCGATGTGGACCTGCTGACGGCTGCAGGGCACAGGGATGGCGGTGATATTCGTCACTTTGACAACGGCTACTGCCGACTAGATCAAGCCTGCACCGGCAGGGGGGCCTGTGGCCACAGCTCGGGCAAGTGCACGTGCTTTGTAGGGCACTCCCTGTCGGATTGCTCCGAATGCAGCAAGGGATACTTTGATCCACTGCGGGTCAATGTTGCATTCCCAGCAAGAGAGCTGATCCGAGAGTGTTTGGCATGTCCGGGCGCGCCTGGCGCCATGCCATGCTCTGGCCGTGGTTTCTGCAATGACGATGCATCAACGAGGGATAAGCACAGCAAAAATGGAACTCGTTCGACCGTCTATGGGGACGGCACTTGCAATTGCCTAGCCCCCTTCTCTGGAGAGAGGTGTGAGGTGGGCCTGTGTCTTCCAGGCCACAAGTATGTGCAGGATTCCATCCTGTGGTGCGAGCCCTGCGAGCCAGGGTCTTTCGTTGACCAGCATAGTCTTCAGCGTTACTGCAAGGGCTGTCCGGGAAACAGCTATGCCAGTCATCCTGGCAGCGCTCGATGCCTCCCTTGTCAAGCCTTCTGGTGGAGGATGTCCGTGACAGCAGACAAGACCAGCTGCCATGTGTCCTTCATGAACGTGTGCGCCTTTACCATCATCCTCTTGCTGTCGTTCCTGTTCTTCGCCATACTCTCACACTTGGCATGCTGTTCCATGCCCGTTGAGGATGTGCAGCTGAAGGATGGCATCCTCAGCCTTTCCACCCGAGGACGTCATTGGCTACTACGGCCTGCGAGAGTTGCCTTCAAAGACACGGGGCATCCTCTCCTGGATGACAATCCCTACCTGGTCGAGGTGCAGAGCGACCGCGAACTCATTGTCTGTGACTCGCAAGGTGTTGCGCTGTCGCTCTCAGCGGATGCGTCCCAAGGCACATGCCACATCCACCGCCTAGACAGCCTTTGGCGAAGGGGAGTCGTTGGGGTTCCTTTCCTCCTGTGCCTCGGGCTGCTTGGCATCCTCTTCGCAACCGCCTTCTTCCTCCTGGGCGCCGTAGCCTTTGATGCAGTCATGGCTCTGGCAGGTCTCGCCCTCGCCGCCTTGGTTCACAGGTGGACTCATCCGACCGATTGCGATCTCTGTCGAGACCGATGCCTCTTTGCTGCCCGGCTACGCACCCACCAACCTCAGGCTTGTCCCAAAGGCCCAGAAAGGGGGCTCGCATTGGGCAAGATTCAAGAGCTCCACGATTTCTTCAGTGCCTACATCGGTCTTCATCGGAACATGTACTATCTCTGCAGCAACATCGTGAAGCCCCTGACTGCCAGAGACCAGCTGTCCTATGCAGAGTTGGCAGGGCCCTGCGCGGTGGCTTTCTTCGTCTCTCACTACTGGGGCATGCCATTTCAGCACTTCCTGGAGTGCTTGAAGGGACATGCTGTGGATCGGACAACCAGCTACTGGATCTGCACCTTCGCGAACAACCAGTGGAAGGTGGCCGAGGAGTTGGGCAAGGACGTCCTTTGCTCACCCTTCTACCTGGCTTTGCGAAGCACTTCCTGTCAGGGCACTTTGGTCGTGCTCGACGAGGAGGTGCTTCCCTTAACCAGGTCCTGGTGCCTCTTTGAGCTCTTCCAGACGGAGATGCTCAGCAGAGAGCGTGGCGGATTCCAGGGGCTTCTGCTTGGGACCTCCACGGGTGTCATGAACCACGGCCAGAGCAGTATCGACCTGGCCCTGAAGATCAGCAAGAAGCTTTCCACTTTGCGTCTCCAGGAGGCCCAGGCCAGCTGCCCCAAGGACAAGCGCCTCATTGACGAAGCGGTGGCAAACCACCCGGGTGGCTTCGAAGCTGTGAATTCCTTCCTTATTAGCTCCGTGCAGGCGGCCCTGTATCAGACGGAAGCACGTTTCCGAGAGGATTTTGCTCGGCTGCATCAGGACCTCGGACACACTGCGGCGCTGGCGGAAGATGCAGGCCACGCCACTCAACCGAACCCGACGCTGCTGACTAGCCACGGAATGCAGGGCAAGGATGAGGAGACTGTCAAGGTGTAGGCAGTTTATTCTAGTGATCGTCTGCTTTTCACAATATAACGAAGCAATGAAGAACGACACCAAGCGGATCCAGAAGTTAGAACGAAACCCAGACCTGCACTCAGAGTGTAGTTAAACTCTCACAAAAGTTTGTTTGGATGGCAAGAGCTGTGTTGCCTTCGCTTCTTGCACAGTGAGGAGAGTTGAAGGTCAAGGTGGTCAAGGTGCCACCTTGCACAGAGATCATGCAGTATGCTGCCAGATCTGCATTCTTAGACAGGCACCGCGTCTGCCCGATTAGTTAGGTTAGATGCTACGGTCTTTCTTGCACAGGACAAGAAGTCAATTCAGAGCGAATTATTTGCTAGGTTTTCGGATTGTCCGCCAGCACGCTGTTGGTGAAAGAATCGAAGATAACATCTAGCAGCTGTACAGATGACCCTCAGGTGAAGCGCGTGCTATGTGCATGCCTGCCCGTGCATGGACTAATGAGCTAATGGTCTAGACTTTGCTGAACCACAGCTGCGAAAAATATGGTGGTTCACCGGTTTTGCACAAGCCCGCAGCTCGCGATTGTGAGTGACCGTGTTCAAAGCGATCGCGTTGACATAGCTCTGGATTTTTCTCATCGCACTAGGCCGCACCGGTAATGCCATTGTGTGGTTTTGGGGCTAGCTGGTGAAGGGAGCACTGCTGACAAGGTCTTCCACTTCGGCGGAAGATCACCTGCTATTTACTTCATGGCTTGGCTCGAAGTCTACGGCTTCCAAGACGAAAGGGTCGGCTGAAGAAGCACACTAGGGAACCTCTCACATACGTTGTCGGCTAGTCGAAAAAAAGAATCCCCATAACCATGACAAGAAATTGGGGAAGCCTGTTGAGGAGTCCTTGGAATGGCCGTTCGGAACTGGTGGAAAGTCTTGAACGACGGTGCGTTTTAGGTAAAAGCATCCCGCCGGCAGGCCTACCTCTACGCATGCGAGGCCATCTCCGGATGTAAGAGCTCATCTGCTTTTTTTGCGAGCTTTCAGTGTCATGCGAAAGCTTGAGTGCTTTCTGCGACAGCTGCCTGGGAAAGTCCCGATGCCCATCAGATCCAAGAAAGAGTTTCCAACGGGAGTACCGCAGGCTCTGGCTGAGCGCCTTGCTGCCTCTTCGCCTGAATTCCGAGTGCAGGGTTTCTCTGCCGTTGCCATGGCTTTTGGGGTTTGGGTTCAGGGGTTATGGATCCCGACGGACATAGTCAGGCGGACGAGCGCTCAATCAGCAGCCTGGGCTTACCGCAAGCTGCACGGGTGCAGGCTGGCTCTGCCATGAGAAACATAAGTGGTAGCTGGTAGTTCGTCCATCCGTTGAAATGTGCCCGTTCTGCAGAGGCCGGCGGTGCGCACTCTGGGTGCGATTTGCGACAGGTGCCGGATCGTTGTCTGGGTCCAAGTGGTGTCCTTGCTCTGATTCGCTCTGCACAGGCTCTGTGCCGAGTCGAGAGCTATTTTGAGCCTTCAGCATCGCTGTGACTCGAAAAAGGGAAGCATCACGCGGAGTTGCATCTTCGAGTTGAGTACACACCTTGCACCCTGCCCCTGCCGCCGCCTTGTCAGATTTTAACAAAGGCTGCATACATAAAGCAACACGATCTGCAGCGGCATCTGTTTAGGGATCCGAGTTAGGATTCATGGCTTGAAGTTTCCCATGTAGGTTTAATCACAGGCGAAAGGACATGGCAAAGCTCCATGAGCCTCCTGCGGAATGCAAGGAGTCACTCGCCGCTCTTCGAGGCCACAGGGCTACATCAGCTTCCATGATCCGCAGACGGAGCGAAACGAGCTGGACAGAGAGATAGACGGACGGATGGACACACACGTATGTATGTATGTATG